AAAAAAATTTAAAAAAAAAAAAAAAAAAGGAAAAAAAGTGTGGTTTTCTCTTGCCCTGCAAACCTAAAGCATCAAAAAGGTAATTTCTCCTTCTATAGTGTTCCTCATCAAAAAACATACAGAAACTCATATCCTCACTGCAACTCTTTTAACTCCTTTAAGCAACTTTTTCGGTTTGTTTTTTTTTTTTTTTTTTTAATAAGAATGATGAATGCATCTGTATAGTAAAGCAACAAACAGCAAAGAAAGCAACCAACAGAAGGCAACAGTAACTGTCTACATGGCAGATCAGAGTTTTCCGTCCCAACATTTTAAACGTGTTTTATTGTTTTTCCTCCCACTCCTTAGCCGTATTTGCACCCGCAGCTACTACATTTTAAATAGTGGCGGTAGAAACTGTTTATTACTCTTTATCGTTTCACTTTCTTTTCTCTCTCTCTTTTTTTTTTTTTTTTTTTTTTTTTTTTTTTCCCCCCTATTTTTTTTTTTTTTTTTTTTTTTTTTTCTTCCTCCCCAAACTGGAGTATTTCTTGTCTGGGACTAATGTTGTCAAGGACTCTCATCCATACAAAGTGAACTTGTTGATAATTTTTGTTCGGGACTAATTCGCCTGTTTATTTTGGGCCTTTCTACCATCAAAACACCCTTTCAGATCCCCAAGAGCAGACAGCACGTGAAAGGATTTTTAAAAATTTAAATGCGTCTTTCGCACACTTACAAACATGCGCTTTCCACCAGCGTGGGTTTGAATTTTCCTCCGTTTCCTGGCATTTGGATGTTTTTGTACTTTACCGTACACTTTAGACCGCTGGAAACAATAAGCCTATTTAAAATTTCGCGGTGGCAATGAGACAGACCTTTTAAAACCTTATCGCAGCTGTTCAAATACAACATCATTGTCAGGTTAAGAGCCAGCGTCTTTTATAGCTGCAGTCTCCAGCTCCTGGGTTGCCGGAGAGTTTAAATATTACCTTCGTAATATTCGCTGCTCGCGGGCTCTGCCGGCAGCATCCCCGCGCCTGGCGCGGCCGCTGCCCGGCCCGGGCGCGCTCGGCCGCGGGCTGCGGCGAGCGGCGGGCGCGGCGGGCGCGTAAGATCATGATCAGAGCCATGGCTAAGAGTCGCCTGCGCCGGGAAGAAGCCGCGGCGGAGCCCACGACGCTCCCTCCGAGCGTCCCCCCCCTCCCCTCCTCGCCTTCTAGCAATTTCCTCCTCTTCAACAACAGCCTGGACAACCCACAGAGTTTAAAGAAACAAAATACTATTTTTCTTGACGCAGTTTAAGACTTGACTATTAAATCTAATCAGGAATTTTATGCCCATCAAATGGTTCTTTCATAATCTTTATTTACACTGTAAGAAAAGGGGTCCCAGAAATATCCCAGCTGAAAGTATCAGCCTAGAGGTTTGCGGCGGGTTTCGCCCAACAGTAAAGTTAAAACAATAAGCAAATGCTGAGCTGCTTTCCACGCCGGCCTCGCTGCTGCTGCTGCTGCTGCTGCTGCTGCTGCTGCTGCTGTTGCTGCTGCTGCTGCTGCTGGAGGAGCTGAATTCTGGGCTCCTGATTAGACATGAGGGCTCTTTGATATTTTGTAATTGAAAATATTAATTTCATGCATGTCACTACACGGAAACTCAGATGACTGTTATGATTATAGTAATTTAAATATTGCGTTCGGGACTGGCACACGGCTCCATAAGACCCTTCGCTCACGGTAAATCATGAGGGATTTAAAAACGGGCAGCAATTTTTTATTGAAAATGAACAGTAGAAAGTTTAAGTTTGATGTAAATAGAAGTTGAATAAACATGCGAGAGCCATTGGGGAACTGGGGACTTAGGCTCTGGGCATTTAATGTCACTATTGTTTTAAATCATATTAAAATGGAATAAAGTAATTAACATTAATAAATAAATCAATATTGTGCAATAAATGAGATATACAATCTACATTAATATAAAGGTTTTGCTCTCAGAGCCCCATATTTTTCCGAACGAGGGTGAAAAAAATGCCCCAACCAATGGGTCCATGTAGATGTAAATTACTGTTTGTAATAAAGCATAGGTGGACATTACAGTTTTCTCCTCTAGCAAATGTCAGGGCTAAAAACTGGAGGTTACCAGACGTGGCAGCAGGGCTTAATTTTCACTGCCTTATCTCCCTGAACCTTATTACTGGTGATATGATTATGTTTTTGTCTCGGCTGTGCCGAGAATTCTCATAGTTGCAATTTGCTGTGTTTGTGTCCCATTATGTGAGGGGGATGGGAGAGGGGTACGAAAGAAGCCAGATATTTTGCAGATGCCTTCAGTAACAAAGGTATTGCGAGAAATGTCTTATTTTTAAAATAGGCTGGAACCCAGGAAGCTTTTAGTAAATTTCCTTTGATTTACTTGATTTCATCATTTTATTTAGACTGTCTTTAAATGCGCTGATTATATATTTTATGCCACCCTGTTAAATTGTAGGGACATTGAAGAATAGTTTTATTTAAGAAAAAAATTTAGGTACGATATTGTGATCTTCCTTCTTTTAATAAAGCAACTGTCACGTTGCCCAGATTTCCATGTGCCGTATTTTCATAGAAAGAGTCGGCACTTGGGCTCAGATTTCCTAGTTTTTTTTGACCGAGGTAAGGGGACGGACACGACATACTGATGGCATGTTTTTCCTAAATATGAAAGCCTATAAAATAAACAAAATAACACGCTGATCTTTTCTTCAAAGGTGTTATTGCTGAGCGTAAAGATCGCACCCTAGCACTGACCGTATTCTCATCTTCTTTCTAAACCCCAGCCCTTCTCCTATCGTATTTCCATATTTTTGTGGACGCAAAGGTGCCTGAGTGTGATGAGATTTTAGCGTGTATATTGGTGTCCAGTGCAGCCTTCAGCCTCGGTATTTGTATTGCACAATTATCTTTTGGCGGATTCCTGCCATATTTATATTTTAATCGAAAAATAAGCAAATGTCCTTTTCGTTCTATGTAAAGGACAAGCCCAAAGACATTTGGAAATAGCTCACAATCTTTTCTATCTAGAAGAATTTAACCGAGAAAAGGGTAAAAAAGAAAAATAGAAGAGGTTACAATCTCGCACAGAATCATCACATTTACACAACGGTTCAAAAATAAAGGGAAGAAAGCGGCATTTCCATGTTCTCGTGTATAGATATAATTTTCCATAATTAACAGCGCACCCTGGTTCCCATTCTCTGGGTTCGGCCTCACTGTAATCGCGAGGGGTTAAAGCACCTCGCATGAAGCCTGATGGGCTCGGGGTTGGTGCGGGCTCTCGCAAGGAGCCCTCTCATGCCAAGAAAAACAAACACCTAAACTTCGCTAAACATTTCCCCCCTAGGAAAGTGTATGTCCACCGAGAGATCAGGGCATTTTCCTCCGGGATACGGCTCTGCCTGCCAGGGCTACCTCTGGCGTCAGGGATCCCAAGGATTTTGGATTGTACAATGCCGTTTTATTACCGCCGGAAAGGCTATATCTAGGAAAGTGTTAACAATGAACTTCTAAAAAGAAAAAAAAAATAAATAAAAAATAAAAAAAAAGAAAAATAAACCACACACCAACAATCCAGCAGACGAAGTGCCAACAAATGCGTTCGCGAGAGACTGGTCTTTAAAAAATGCGGAATAGGGCTGAGACAACATGAAATAGATTTCGATGAATTCTGCAAATAAGCAGAAAGCAGCAAAACCTTTTATTTCCTCAGGTTCTGACCAGAAGTACACACTGAAAGGAAAAAAAAAAAAAAGATAAAACAAACAAACAAAAAAATCTCAGAAAGACAGAACATGCTCGGTTGCTGGAGACTGTCCAAGCAATTCATAAGAATTACTTTAATTCTGTAAGCTCTACTTTCATTTTAATAGATCTCCATAGCACTTTTAAAGAGAGGGACTTCATTCAGCAATGCCTTGGAAAGGTGATGTTAGGATATTAAAAATATAATTTCTCTCTGGCTTTCTTTTAAAAAACATGGACTCTCAGGAGCTAATGTTAATCTCGCCTTTAAATAAAATACGTTTTTAACATTATGTTTTCTGTACCTAGAGGATTATTTAAGAAAATCCTCGAGTAAGAATTAAATATAAATTGTGGAAATGCATGTTTTATATATTACTTTTGTTCCACCCGCGTTAAGGCTGTCCTTTAAGGAGTAGATAGATTTTCGTTCTAGGGAACGAATTCTAAATATCTTTGGGGTTTGATTTTTTTTC